TGGACCAGCTTTGCTTGGGGTGGCAACCCCACGTGCATTGTCTTATCTCTCCCCCTGCAAAAAGCTGGGTCTGTACACCGGGAAACTCCTGCTTTGGCTTGGCTGCAGCCTCTTCCTCCTCCTCCTCCTCTTCCTCCTCTCTGCAGGTTGCTGGAGCAAGACTGATTTTTGCTCCTGTGATGGAGCAGAGGCCGGGGAGGGGGAGATGGGCTCTGCAACTGCAGGCTGCGCCCAGACCCTTATCTCCACACAGTGGAAGTGGGTCCCTGACCAGGGGGAAGCGCTCACAGGGTCTAAAAATAGAGCTGGCCTGGGTGCAGGGTGGAGAGAGGTAGTGGGGTGCTGGAGGGGACGCAGCTCCTTTGCCAGCATCGTGCTTGGTGCTGCTTCTAGGGCAGGCTTTAGCAGCAGAGGAAATACTGCCCGTCCTGAACAGCACCAGCGTCCTGGTGCTGGTCCCCCGGCTCACCCCATCCCAGCAGAGCTGCCCTGGGTCCCCTCCGCCCATCCAGCCCGAGTTAGCTAATGCTAAAGCCATCTGCTCCAATGGCTCCCAGCCTTCCCAGGCTCGGAGACCTCGCTGACATCTCCCTCTCAGGCTGCAAATGTGGAGAGGAGTGAGTTTGCAGAAGGGGAGGCTGGCGTCGCTCCCTGTCCTGGGAGTGTCCAAAACCTGAGCCCAGCAAAGCGGTACAATCCTGCAGGATTTTGGTTGCAAAAGAAGCCCCAGAAGAAAGCAGCAGGTGGGAGCCATTTGTCAGCACCAGAGGCAGGCGCGAGACCGGAGGTGTTGCACGAGCGAGGCAGTGGCTCGGCGGGTGGGGGACGCAGCGTCCCTTTTCGGCTGCGTCACCTGCTCAGCGCCTGTGGCCGCTCTGATGTCGTGCCGCCTTCCCCCCAGGAGCCCTTTGATGTCCTGCTGCTGCAGCCATCCCCAGGCTCTGCGGTTTCACGCCTCAGTTGCCAGAGCCCCCAGGGCAGGGGTATGCACCGACACCAGCG